TATATATATATATTATTTATTTATTTATTTTATGGCGGAAGAATGGATCATTGAAAGATTGTACTTTAGATCATCCTACGAAATAAGAGTAGTTGCCTGATTTTTTTTAGGAGAATATAATTCATACAATAGGAAAAGATGTAGTGACTGTGTTTGAAACATAGTAAAATGATGATGTTGAGATCAACAAACATCCCAATGGAATTGATTAAATTAAATAGAATAAAACTTATCTTCTTCTTGTTGCATTTTTGGCAATCAAACAGAGTATTTCTCTTTTGATTTTGCCATCCATGTACCAGAGATATATTTGGCCAAATACTTGAAGAAGGAATGAAGAATGTTGAAAATGTATGATTTTCTCTTATGTTTTTTCCTCCAACTTAAATTGTAATCTTACTTGCTATTGTTAACTTGAGTGTTCTTATGTAGGCCATTCTGTCTGGATGTTCAGCCGGTGGATTAGCATCGATTTTGCATTGTGATAACTTCAAAGCTCTTGTTCCCATGGTTGCTAAAGTAAAGTGTTTTGCCGATGCATGGTATTTTATTAACGCGTAAGATTTTGTATAAGGGGCTTGGTACCCAGACGAAATAATTTGATATGTACAAGAATCATGTTCTTTTGTTTCGTGTGGATCCAACATCTTTCTTTTTATCCTCTATAACAGGAAGGATATCTCTGGAGCACCGCATATAGAGGATTTCTATTATGATGTTGTCAAGACACACAGTGAACCAACCAGACAGTGAACCAATCACAGAGCCAGTGGGTGCAAGCATTCCTACAAACCCCCCATTTACGATATTAATGTACCAGACTAGATCAAATTGGCATTTATAAAGGTACATGGTTGATTATGGTGAAGTTCTGTTCTTGGTAAACTATTATTCCAGCAATGTATGTCTATTTTAAGTTGTCGAACAAAATCTTATGCTCAACAAAGAAAGATAAAGTTGGATTGAAGTAATTTCATCTTTGTTTCTTAAGTTCCCAGGAGCAGCCTTTGAATTGATAACTATGACTATAATATCTTATAACGGCATGACATTTTCAGTCTACATTTTAAACGTATTTTTTTGATCCCTTAACAACTCTAAGAGTGATTAAAATAGTGTGAAAATGCTGAGTCTTCTCTCTTATTATCTATATTCTGTTATAGAATGTTAAGAAGACTTCCTTCTTATATAGGTTTATTGAAAAACTGTAGCAAGACATTCCTGGTGAACTGGTCGATAAATAGTTAGAGGGGCTATGTGTTATCTATTACTTAATCCACCTTTACAAGCATCAGGGTGATTTCATTGCTACAAGCTGCATAACTCAAAAGCAGGCTTGCTAATGATCAGCTCAGAGCTTTGTATTCTTTTACTATATTTTCTTTGAATCACTAGTCAATTCTTTTTTTACTCTTTATTGGATGCTTGTAAATTGAAAATTATCTAATTTGGATTTGGATGAACTATAAATTTTGTTATATTTGTGTTTTGGTAAAATATTTTGGATTCAATATTACATTGATTGAGTCCTGTTTAATTAATTTATAGTCTTTGGCCTTTTTATATTATTTTGAATGAGGTTAAAAAAAAATTACTACAATATAAGCAATATATATATATATATATATATATATATATATGAAATAATTTAATTTCTTCCTACAAATTCTTTCAAAATAACATACAAATATGTTTTCCCCACAAATTTTTTTGTAGATAGGGTTTAACCCACAAAATAATATGTACCATGCTGTCATAAATATTCTTTTCCCACAATTTATTTATAGAAAAAAACACAATTTAGCCTACAACATAATTTGTAGGGAAAAGCGTAATTGTTTTGTGGGTAAAATTAATTTTAGCAGACAAATGATTTTGTCGGTAAAAAACTTACACAACAAATTGTGCTTGTCTCCAAAGGGTTCATAGGGAAAAATTTTAGCCCACAAATTTAAAAAATTTGTCGTCTTATACCTTTCCCCTCGATATTTGCCCACAAATATGCTTACAAAAATTTTTCGTCTGTAAATATTTTTTCCTACATATATGAACCTTTCCCTACAAGTAAAATTTGTAGGGAAAGCATCAATTTCTTGTAGTGTTACTTGGAATGGAATAAAGCCTAATAACTTTAGGAAATGGTCGATATAATTATAAATTTTCATAATCAATGGTTATATCTTTTACAAAAATCTCAAAACATCTCGACCATGAGGTTATATCTTAAAAATATTAAAAAAAATAAAATTGAGAAAAAGATGATTTTAGCCCACCCTAATATTTATCTCTTGTTCCTCCCCTATTAGAGCTATATTCAACAATCCTCCATACCAGGAGTCTCCTCTACTTCCATTGTATTTATTCCTAAGTCTCATAATGCTTCATCTCAGTCACTATATTGTCCAATTACCTTATGTACTATGTTTAACAAGGTTGTACAATTAAGCACATTATTACCTCATAAAAGTTGATGAAATATGTCATCGAAAAATTGATAAAATTTGTAAGTTTCATGAAATGTTTGGTCGAAAATGAGTTTTAGAAAATGGGACTAAACAAGACTTCATAAACAAGTTTTTTAAACGCGTTGGACGTTGTTTTTCTACAAAGTAGGTTGGCTTTACCAAGTGTGAATATATTATCTAACTAACTTGAGTTTTGTATCTAAAAGTCTGAATTCATTTTATTATCATGTGGACTACTAGACAATTTAATGAATATTTAAACTAATTTTGTGGTCGACAACTAATTGTGCCAGTTATAAAGAAAGGTTGGCGACTTACATGAACAGAACAATAGATTGTGCGCTTAGGATGCAATTTTCCCTATCTTAATTCATCAAATATTTGAAAACCTCTGTAAATACTAAATAGTCATTGGTCAGCCATACACTGATTGATAACATGTAAATCAAGAAACTATTACAAACTGAGGCAATAAAATTACTAATATTGAAGTATTACAACTTTTGAAAAGTCACATTAATTTTCTCCATTTCTAATCTTGAGTAATTTTTTCATAATTACTAGACAATTTAATGAATATTTAAACTAATTTTGTGGTCGACAACTAATTGTGCCAGTTATAAAGAAAGGTTGGCGACTTACATGAATAGAACAATAGATTGTGCGCTTAGGATGCAATTTTCCCTATCTTAATTCATCAAATATTTGAAAACCTCTGTAAATACTAAATAGTCATTGGTCAGCCATACACTGATTGATAACATGTAAATCAAGAAACTATTACAAACTGAGGCAATAAAATTACTAATATTGAAGTATTACAACTTTTGAAAAGTCACATTAATTTTCTCCATTTCTAATCTTGAGTAATTTTTTCATAATTACATTTTAGATATATCAATCTTGTTTTAAAAAATATGTCTCAAAAGGAGGCCAATTATGTGTGTGATACTTAAAACTAAAATATGAAAGACTAATGCGATTTTTTAAATGTGACAATGTCTCTTTTATTCTCTAAGAGATAATAATTGTATGATTGGCAAAACTTTAATATTTTTAAGTGTTATAAGTTGTAGGTCATGTAGAAATAATAGATAAATTACGACTAATATCTAATCATTTCCTACGTTGTACGCTGTCTAAGTAATCCAAAATGGAAAACCAATTTTATTGTTTAATATTTATAATATCAAGAAAATTATCCATAACTGCCTAATCAGAGATTAAGTAAACAACCAAATTGAAATAGCTCCTTTCCATAACTAATAAGTGGGATAAATCACACTTGTTTACTGGACTTTGTAATGGAATTCACTTGGGTACTACCAATTTTAATTCCCAAGATTTACTTATATTCCATCAGAGTCACTTGAAATAAGAAAAATATGCACCAAAATAATGCCCGGAACAAATAAATGCATGCTATTGTGCATGTTTATTATAGGCAATATCTGTCATGCTTGAGAAATAGTTGGAACAATGGGTAGCGAGCTCGATGGCGGATGACGGAGGATATTGGCAATATTCAAAATTACGCATTAACATTATTGTGCTTGTACTGGGAAATAATTGAGTTCTAAAACGTTGAAATGGGTCCACTTTTGTCATTTGCCTGTCTATGTAACTTTTATAAACAATTCTATTTCGATAGAATTGGTCAGAATTTTCATAATAAAATAAAAAGATAATGTATTATAAACAATACAGTGATTGTTTGATTAGGTATAGTAAGTTACGAGTGCTTTATCTAACTATTTCACCCTCCGAGTTTCTAGTAAAATAACATGACTATCCCTATTAATTAAGCCCTCGTTTTAGGCCCACATTATTCCTTATTAAATTATAATTTATTTTTCTATCTCTTCTTATCAATCATTTATTTTCTAATAAAATAATATTATATATAAATTCAAAAAAAAATCTTTTTTCTTTCTTCTTATTATAATAATATGAAATAACAGGGTTTGCTGCACCAATTGATCCTATACTTGGCCAACAGGAGAGGGCAAAAATGGCATTTGGAACAAAATGCAATTGCATTTGAATTAGTCAACTATTGTGAGCATGTAAAGTGATGGCATGTTTTCAATCAAAATGATAACAATAGGGCCCATTTCAATGCTCCAAAAATCAATTATTCTGAAAACAAGCACATCAGACAAACTTAATTATTTTGAAGTGTATTCACATAATTGTCTTATTGAATGGATCTTAAGATTCCTCAGTTGACACGCTGACTTGAGCCGCGTTGGAGAACCTCTACTAAGAACTTGACAAAATTATAACAAAGTTCTCAAATTTTGATTTAAGTACAGTATTGCAGAAAATTGTTTAGCTCAATCAAAGTGGAATCACCACGTAGTTAATTCGTGAAAATATTCTTATGGCTTAGGAAATAATTTAGCCCGTCTGGTGGCCATCTTTCTAGAAAAACATTGTTTTGAATAGTAAATCTGTGAAGAATGTGCAGTCGAAAATAGAGAAAAATTTTGAATTTACGTATAAAATATTTTAATATGTGAATGTGCGATTGAAAATTAGTGCAGAAAAGAGAGAGAGAGAGAGAATTTTGAAAGAATGGAAGGCAAATAAGGGTTTTATTGAATCAATTGCAAACATTCTGAAGGTAGCGTCTCTATAAACTTGACATAGTAGTATCGGGTTTTCTATATTGTCTTTAATCTCACTTTACATGCTCGGGATTAAAAAGGCCTCCAAAGAACATTATTAAGAACACTAAAGGGTAATTTGTAAAATTCCTGTAAGGAGATACCCTAAATCAGGTGATCGAGAATACAAAATGTTTGCTTGCTTACGAATGGAGGATTGGGACTCAGTTTAATACGTTTGGTTTCAGTCTTTATAATATGAAGCTTGGTGGAGATTTCATTTGAATAATTCTTGATGTGCTCTTTTTCTTGTGGATAGATATTATAATGATGATCTTCCTTTATTTATTATTTAACCGTTTACTATCACATATTAATTCAAAGATTAAACTTATTAAATTGGGGTTTAATATCTATTATAATAACATTTATTGGAGGGAGGTTACGGTAGGAAACCATCCACTTCTATGATTGATGGATGTTGGTAAGTGATTTTCTATATTAAGATCAATGTTCTATAAAGCGTAAAGTGTAAGAGATGTGGAGATCAAATTTCAAGCTTTACAAGTCTAGGTGAGGTCTAGACTTAAATGTTTTCTTATTTTTAATATTATTTTAAATTTTTAATTATTGTAAAAATTATTTAATATTAAGATAATGCCTACCAAACATCTAAAATTATAAAATACTATATTTACTTAATAATTACTACAATTAGTTATACAATTTTCAAGATTTCGAAATGCAAAAACTACACTATTTTTCATAGTTATATAACTTAATCTTATCTAAGAGGGTGTTTGGTAGGAATTTTTAGGTGAAAATGTATTTTTGAATAGTAAATTGATGGGAAATGTGTGGTTGAAAAATAAGAAAAAGCTTTTGATTTACGTGTAATATTA